GTCGGACCGGTGAGGACGACACACAGACTTCACTGCTGGTCTGACTCAACACAGGGGGAGATTGAGGCCCGAGGCCACTAAACAGTGAAGAAACACTCCCCAGCTGCTGTTCCCAGAGTGACCCCTGAACACCGAGCAGCCTGTGTGCAGAAGATGGATGGAATAGATCAAGAATCTTTACAGGAGCTTTGTTGCAACAATTCTGTGCTTCCAGAACATAATTTAAAAAGTCAGGATGATATTTTTATCACAATTTGTCTAAAATATTTGGTACTTTACCAAATCCAGCAATATTTTTAAGAACAATGTAACCAATTTTGTCTTTGGGAGTTTCTATCAGACACAGAGCTCCCACACTTGTCTTCAGCTACGTTGGAAATTCAATACCGGATTTCAATCCTGAACTGATCCGCACATGACTGTGGAAATGTGGGAAATTCAATCTTGGACCTCTGTGACTGATGGCACTGCAAAGAGAGCCCGAACCCCAGGGGTACAGTTCGCCTGCTCATTGCTCATCACTTGCAAACCTTATACTTGTTTATACAGTCGGGATTATTATTGTCTACATAGCAATCAAAATGGACAGGAAGCCTGTTTTCACAGGTCACTGCGATCTCTGTCTTACGTCTTTTGGCATTGTTGCTGTACTGACCACTTTGTTTTCTCTCAATGTTATAAATTGTAAAGTTATTCCTACTACGGCAATTTTGCTTGATTGCTTGATTCCGATTTCCACAGATCCTTCTCACTGCATCTGCTGTGGTGACAATAAATGTGTGCATGAGTCTCCCATTAATGGGGATGCATCTGCCCTTCATTTCTGCATTCCAGTTCTGTGGTACTGTACCAATAACATGTCTGTTCAGAAACCTCTCGGAGGCAGAATTCACAAATTCACAACAACACTCAATGTGCCTAACCTTCTTGTTCACATTGTAATATTTATCACGGGTGTCTTCTGACCCGTACACTATTCCGTCCACGAGCATCAGACAGTTTCCGTACACCATGATCTTCCTCAGGTCCACCGAGGAGCGGAAGGTCTTCACAGTCCAGTCTTCCCTCTTGGCTGTCATGTTCTGCTGACTGTTGCCTCCCAGGTAATAGGTTCCACACAGCTGATGCTGAGAGCTCACTGTGTGAGCCCCCAGCAGGAGCAGAACGAGAGCCATCTTCACCACCATCTTGTCCTGGCTGAAAAACACACATTTCAAAAGCATGAGCCCCCTGTTAGTGGAAGGACAGGCGAAGAGCTGAGCCCACTCTCTCCCTGCAATCTACAGCAGGGGCTCAGCTCGGTCCCCTCTCCCCTGTGATACTCAGGGTTTCTAACGCTTAGGAAAGTGTTTGTGTCACACAGAGCAACAATGAACCATCCTGTATCACCGAGAACAAATCTCAGAGCTCAGAAAGGCCCAAATAAAGAAATATGAAGGAAAAGCTTGTATATCTATCAGACACACAACTCCTGCACAGACACAGAGAGCAGAGTGACAAGACACCTGTCTGTCAGACACAGAGCTCCAGCAGACACACAGAGCACAGTGAAAAGACACCTGTCTGTCAGACACACAGCTCCTGCACAGACACACAGAGCACAGTGACAAGACACCTGTCTGTCAGACACACAGCTCCTGCACAGACACACAGAGCACAGTGAAAAGACACCTGTCTGTCAGACACACAGCTCCTGTACAGACACATAGAGCACAGTGACAAGACACCAATTTATAAGAATGTAATCATTCTGGAGAAGATGAATCAGATGCTGTCTTGAAAGGAGGCACTTCTGTACACAAAGGGCAGTAGGAGTCTGGAACAAGCCACATGGTCATGATATCCTGGATTCTTTCAGGACAGCTGGATATGATCCAGGATCGATTGGCTACTAGTGCCCGAACCGGCCAGATGGGCTGAGCAGCTCCTCTCGTGTGTGCCTGTTCTGAAGCTCCTATTTGCGTTGACTGTCCTGAAAGTGCCTCCCACTCTGGTTTGGGTGCAGACTCTGAGTAAAGGCTTCTCTCTGTACAGTACCGGCTGTTGTCTGTTGCCACGGCAGCACAGGGGTGTTCTCTGGGGCTGGTGGTCCGCACGTCTCTTGGCACAGCAAGACTGAGCTCTGAGTGTCCTCCCACAGTCTAGAGCCAAAGAGGAAGAACACCAGG